TACAACCCAACATACAGCAAATATTACAACTCGAATAAGGTGAGCACAAAGAAAATTAGAAAACGATTTTTCTCACGCAAATAACTGTAGTACGTGAAACTCAACGCTATTTTTGAACAAACTACAAAATATAAGCCAGAAATAAATAAGCAATTAGTAATATTTTTAAAGATGGTTTTAAATTTCGTTGAAAACCCATTCAAATTTTTAATTGGAGCTACTCAAGAAGTATTTAGTCACTAATTACGAGTATATAGTTAATTTTTATAGTGAACTAATGTTTTAATGCCGAAAAAAGGTCGTTCATGTAGATGCACAGACACTGTTACCAGTTATTAAAAAATTAACGAAAAATTTTGGTGAAGGCGCCGGGAACATTTTAAATAAAAGCTATAATTGACCTATAATTCCGGTTATATTGAACTAAATTGATAACTTTCATCTTTTCGATCACGTTTTTTGTTCTTTGTAGACAAGTTAGGATTGCTAATTTATATTTTTTGTGTTACAATTAAAGTATAATTTGCTGCATAATATATAGACAACCCAACATACACCAAATATTACAATTCTAAAAAAATGTGTACAAAGAAAATTAAAAAACTATTTTTTTCACGGAAATAACTTTTTACGTGAAATTTGATAGTACTCTCGAGCAAGCTACAAAATATTATGGAAAATAACTACTTAATTAGTAGGATTTTTAAAAGTCCACTTATAAAATTTGTTTAAAAACTATTGCTCATTTTTATTTGGAGCTACTAAATTAGTAATTAGTTACTATTTACGAGTATTTAGTTGATATTTATTGTCAACTATCGTTTTTATGCCGACAATAAATTGTTCATATGGATGTACAATTGTTATCAATACTTACTAAAAAAAATTGTTAAAAGTTTTGGTGGAGGCGCTGGGACAATTTAAAATAAAAGCTATAATTGACCTATACTTCCGGTTACATTGACCTACATTGATAAATTTCAGCTTTTAATCAAGTTTTTTTTCTTAGTAGATACAGTTAGGGTTGCTAATTTATATTGTTTTTGTAACAATTAAATTACAATTTGTAATATAACATATTCCAAATTTTCAAACCGTATACTTTTTTTAGTATAGATAGTATTTATTTAGCTCATGATATGCTGCAAAACCTAATTAATCACAAATTTTTTAGTTTTATGTGCTCTTGTCTCCGATTATACCTCCCAAACATCCTTAAGGCTTTAAGTGTTTATCGAGTTCCATGTCACTCAATTACATATAATGTAAATCAAAAATGTACTTAATAAATCAAACGTGTATATTATATTTAATTATCGCAGTATAATTAGCCGATCAACAACTGCTTCAAGAGGGTAGTAGGGTGCAAAGTGTCTCATTCATATATATATTATGAAAAACGAAAAAGCAAAAAGTAAAAACGAATGTTTTTTTTTTGTTTTAACAGCAAAATTTAGACTGGCAAGTGAGAATAGGACAACAAGGTACTGGGAAGACGAAGAAGAAGAAAAGAAAATACCTGGAGATTGTGTAAATTGAAAGCAGAAACAATCGAACACAGTTTTAATAGCTATAGAGTAACAGGAAAATGGGAAATTCAAATTGAAGGAAACGATGATCTAAAAATGACCAGAGAAATATTAAAGAGCTGGAAAATAGCAGCACAGCGAGAAGAATAAAGATTTTAAGTATTTGTGAAATTCATATACAGGTATAGAATAGTTAAATGTAAAGGTATAGGTATGTAAATGCATCTTGTATATAGATACAAAACATAATATATTTAATAAATTTATCTACCTTATTTACACGAAAAGATGGCTAAAGATATTTGTACGAATTTTTCTATATACCATGTCGTATTTTTCAAAAGGCGATGGAGCCTTTTGATGACTACATGTAACAAAGTATCCCTCAATTCGCCCCTACTATATGGATCAACCTGTAATATAAATTATTGTTCCTGTTGTTCCTAGCAAAAAATCGGTGAATGGTGATTATCTTCTTTCCTACTACTATAATTATCAAAATTCTAATTCATCAAAATACTTAATCAAAAAAATTAAATGTACTATTATAAAAATGACCTTAATCGAGAGTCCACTTCCGATCGATGCTTTAGAATTTTTATAAAGAAGTGATTATTATCCACTTACTAATAGGTACATCACTCAATCAAACTATTTTAATTATTATCATAACTTGCTAATTTTATAAAGGACCTTACATAATAATAATCATATTAGTCATAGTTTGAAAAATCGTTTATAATAATCTAATACTGTGTGATAACACTCCAACGAAAGTCAAGAACATGATTCAAGAAATGGCTATTTATAGATATAAAGACGATTAACACCTACCTTAATTCGCCCTTTTCGTAACAAGCCATCCCGTCAAGCAGCTTCCCCCACTTATTCCAAAGTCCTGTATAAACTATTACAAAGTTCATTTCGTAAAACACCCTCGTAATAGATTTTTAAACCCGTAATCTATGTAATGATAACGTTATCGCGATAAACGTTAACGTAAACCAGAATCAATTTCACAATAATTTCTCGGATTATATTACCGAACTAATACAGTTACGATTCGGCAAGCTTCGTCCTGTGCTTTACGTACCATTACCCATCACGAAGACGAACAATACCAGATTAAACCAGTTTTTTCCGCGTTATCAACAAGATTGTGTAATTTCTACATTTGTAGCTGTTTTGTAAAGAATGTGGCAAATTATGGTCAACATGATGAATAATAACATTCTAAAGAACAGATATTATATATTGACAGTTCTGGTCCAACACCTTTTGCCATCTTTCTGGTAGTAGCATAATTCCACGCTCATATAATTTTTGGTCTTTGCTGGCAAAAAACTAATCGAGGAGGTTTTTGACCTCCTCATTTGAGGTGAAGGTTTTACCGTCTAAAAAAATTTGGAGTGCCAGGTCTGGAGAATATGGTGGGTGTTTGCATTGTATCCCATTCAAGCTGTAAAAGCTTTTGGCGAGTAACCAAACTTGTGTGGGGTCTCGCGTTATCTTGGTGAAACACTACACCTTTCCTGATGATTAGTTCTGACCTTTTCTGTTGAAGTGCATCATTCAGTTTGTCCAGCTGATGACAGTAGACTTCCGAATTAATCGTTGTG